CTAAGAAAACATATATGAGCTTTCCACTTGCTCAAAAAGTCAAAATTTCGCCTTCACTCTCAAAAGATTAAACAATTTTGAATCTTCAATTTTTGACTTCACTAGGAATCAAACATATATTTTTTGTACCATTCAACTAGCACATCATATATGACGGCCAAAAAACTACCATACTATATATAGGAATTTAATGCAAGCAATGGAGTCTTCTATCCAAATTCTAGAATTCTTTTTGACCATATAAAAGACATTAGTTAGTGTGCCCTGTACATATGATATTTAGAATATTCTTTTTTTTTTTACTATGTGATTTAGAATATTCTTTTATTACTTGCAAAGATTAGGGTAATTATATATTATTTCTGCATGCTTTGTAATGCATGCTAATTATTACAATCCTTCAAACCCAGACACTACTTCTCCGAAGTAAATTAAGCACTAACGAAAGGGTATATCTCATATCTGAAATTGCAACTGCCACTAACGACTCGACCACCTTCTTTCGCATCACAGCAGTTCGGAAGCTCCCCAATTATGCCCTCAAGACACTTCTTACAATCAACTCCAGAGAGATCTCTAGTACACTGAGTCAACCCGTAAAGCTTCGTTGATCCCTCCAACTCCGTCTCTCCGGTTGCGTACAGTTTCGGAGCTCTGTAAGCTTCTTGTGCAAGTTGGCTAAGCAGTTCCTTGGTCTTCTGATTGAACGTGACAGAGTTGTTTACTTCTCTGACATTCCACATGTAGAACTTGTTCTGGTTATCGATCTGTCCGAAGAAGTCAACGTCGGAATACTTCACGAGGCAGTTATCGTACCATATGATTGCACCCTTGTTTGACGGGCAGCGCTTGCGGATCTCGCTGCCAGCCTCTGGAATGCAAGTTTTGCAATCATCTGAAGAGACGTCGCCTCTGCAGAGAGCGAGGCCGTTGGCTTGGTTTGGCTCATCCCCTATTGAGCCCTTAGCAAAGCCCGTGGAAGGAGCTTGATAGGAGAGATAACCAATGAGCTTGTTTAAGTTTGCCTCGTAAGGATCATAAGTGGAGAAATTTCCAGAGCTGGAACAGAAGTGAAAGAGAGGGTCTGCACCGATAACTGATTGGAGAAGAAAAGCAAAAGTTAACAGACAGAGAATGATGGAAAACTTTGAGGAAGAAGAAGAAGAGAACATTGTTGCGGGAGGATGTTAACTCAGATAGCCGCACTGAGTAATGTCGTGTTTGGCTTGGGAGAAAATAAAGAAGTGGTACTAGTATTTATAGTGAAAATTTCATCTCTCAACCTGATTAATTTATTTATGATAGATTTACCAGGCCTCTTTTTTTCGAGTGATAGAAAAATTCCAAATGTGGGCTGCGGTTTTAGAAACTTTCAATGGGTAAGATGGATACGCACTTCAGGAATCAATTACTTGTATACAATAAAAAGGTGATTAATTAATTGACTAAGTTATGGGTAGATCCATATTAATCAACAATTCGGCTGTCTAATATAATACTAATTTATCATTCAAATTTAGCAAGACCACTATCAATTATATATACTATATTAATTACAAAGTTGACATATACCTCCACATGTACAAGACAATTCTCTGTCTCAAAATAATTATTTTTTTGTTTTCAAATATATTTTAAATTAATTATTTTTTTAATAAATAAATATTTTTTTTCTTACATTAACCTTATCATCGTGTACTTATTTTAATTAATTATGTAATTACAAAGTCTCTTTTTATCTTTTATTTCTTTTTTACGGGTATTATAAATAAATATAAATATTATCTTCAAATTCTTAATTTCAAAAGAAAAAAAAATTCAAAAACAACTATTATTTTAAGAAAAATGAAATATAAAGGTGAAACATTATTACAAGCAGTTATTTTTATACTTTTATACTTTGGGGAAATAGAAGGAAATGTAATAACCAAAGTATGATCTACCTCACCAACCAGGGGTTGGATCAAGTGGTAAACGGTTTGTTTCAGCTTAAGTAAAATCTCGAGTTCGAGACCTTATGTATGCAACAATTCCCGTTAGAAAACTCACCCACCATTTTCAGGTGCGCGACACGGATCAGATCCGGATTAATCGAGGCAAAATCTCGGATACCGGGTGGGAAACCAAAAAAAAAAAGTATGATCTACCTCCAATTAGGTGGGTGAGAAAACATTTAGAAAAAAAAAATATTTTTTATTATATAATCTATCATTAGATATTAAAAAAAAAAAAAAAAACAAAGGTTTGACCAACAAAAATAAATATTAGTAAAAAAGGAGACTTTTTCTTTTCTTGGTTTTCGGCTTCTAGAATGCTTTTTTTGTTTTTTTTATCGATAATGCTTTTTTTTATATTAAACCTCTCCATATTTAAAAATTATATTAAATCATAATGGATTTAAAATCAAGACAAATCAAACCACATAAGAAGAAAAGTTCTCTTAGCTCCCATCTCTCTATTCAGAGAACTAAAATTTAAAATTTTATTTAAAAAGAATTAAATTTTTTCTATTCAACTAACATGTCATTAATTTTTAGAATGCCTTTACTGTTACATGCAACCCACCATTTTGCAAGAACATGGTTTGTCTTAAGTGGAATTTGTGTATCATCCATGATTTAGTGGATAATAGAGTTATCTTTTAAAGTTTGACCAATAAAAAGAAAATTATAAATTGCACTCATTTAAATATTATACTTGGCATTAAATTCAATGTTTTTTCGAGATAATTTATTTTTTTTGTGAGTGAGTTAGGTGAGTATTTCCTGGTGGGGTTGGGAGTAGGAGGAATTAAGAAGGTTTGGTGTTTAGTGTTCATGGCAGTTTTTTTAATTTTGGCGTGAAGAAACTGTAAAGTGTTTGGAGAGGATGGATTATAAACTACTGGAGTTAATTCAAAATAGGACTTTTGTATGAATCACAGGAAACGAAGAGGGTTGCCTTTTTGCATATCAAGAATAGTGCCTTAACCTTGTTTTTATTTACTATCGTAGAGTTTTGGCTTAATTTTTGCATACATTGAGAGTACTTTTTTTAAGATAATTTTTAAAGTGCACCTCTACCTTAGGTTGATATATTTAAAAAAATTAATTTTTTTTTAAATATTGATTTTAAAATTTAAACTCTAAACTTGTTATAATAAACAACACTTATTTATTAATAGATCTAATTCTTGAGGTTATATCATAATATATGTATATATATGAATAGAGCTCTATTCATACATAAATCTTATACACTATATTTACACAAAATTTCAATCATTTATCTCTTCACTTTTAATGGCTGAAATTTATTTACACTTATTAAAATAATTATATTTTTCATTCAAAAAATTGTGATAAATCTCAACTATTGAAAGTAGAGAGATAAATAATTAAGATTTTGTATAAGTGTAGTGTATAAAACTTTTATGCGAATAAATCTCTTTACATATAAGTCTTACACATCATACTTAAACAAAATATTCATCATTTATCTTTCTATTTTTAATAGTTGAGATTTATTCATATTTATTAAAGATAATTATCATTTTTATTTAAAAATTTATAATAAATCTCAACTGTTAAAAATAGAGAGATGAATGATCATAACGTCTGTAAGAATTTTGTGTAAGAGGATCTCTTTTCATATATAAGGATAGTGTAGAATAGGTCATCTTCCTAAATTTTTTTGGGAGGACTTGTCTAAAAACTCACATTTTAACCAATATTTTCAAAAATCAGTTATTAAGTTGAAAGTTCTATTAATATATATTATGCATGTCAATTTTCACATTGATCTATTGCTTTCATAAAAAAAAACTCTATTTTCATACATATATTTAATGGTATTGGATTTTTTAATCAATGATATGGTTAGACTTATTAAAATAATTTGAAAACTGTTATATATAATTTATATGAATAAAATTTTCAATTCAACAGTTGATTTTTAAAAATATTAATTAAAAAATAAAATTTCCGATAAATCCTTAAAAAAAATTTACTTCTAAAAAAAATTTTAAAAGAATGATATGTAAAATACTTATATATATATATATATATATATATATATAAAGACACACTATAGTTTGTAATATTCTTGGACTATAAAAAAATGGATTGCAATGTTCATCCGCACAAGATTCTAGAGGTCAAAAGCATACAAAAATGCGCATGTTGTTTACCCATTTTATTTCTTTAATTTAACGATAACAATTATTAATGGTAACCCCATTTATGTCAAAAAAAAAAATTACGTTGAATGAGGTTGTTGCAATATCCTTAATAATAGTTAAAGATAAATAGTATTATTAATGAAATTTTGTATTTTTTTATTTTTTAAATAAATTAAAAATATACATAATAATTAATTAAAATAAAAAATATAATATTAATAATTAAAGATGTAGTAATAAAACCAACATTTTAATTCAATTGTCTAGGATTGATGGGAGTAGAATCTCTCTCGCCTCTTTCATCTATGCATCCTTTCTTTCTCCTTTCCATTTTTTTTTTCTTTCTTTTTATTTTAGTTTTCCCTGAAGGGTGGCTTCTTTTTCTTTTTTTGGTTGTAATTGCTTGGCACAAGGTTACTTGATATTAATTATTAACGAGAGAGCAATGCTAGGGGCAGTCGCCTCCTGCACGCTCCGGCCAACACTCTCTTTTGTTGGGCCGCGTTATTTTGGTTTCCGAGTGGTTGCGCCTGAAAACTTTAAGGAAGCTTACGTGACCCAATGAAAGGGGAAGTGTTGGTCGGAGAGTACAAAAAGCGAGTGCCCCTAGCACTGCTCTTAGAGAGAATATAATAAGTACCGTCAAGAGGTTCAGATAACCTCAGTATACTTACAACAAAACAAATCATTGCCCGGAACAAGAACTCCATAAAATAGACAAAATTAGTTAACATGAAATTAACCAAAGAAAGTCTATTAATATTCTCAACCAAAGAATGGATCTCTACAACCATCCCTTCAAAAACCAGCGAGTTGCTCATTCCCCACAAGCACCACAAGGTAGCACGTAGCAGCAACAACTCTCCATCGAACAATTAAAATTTTAACCAAAAATCGGTACTTGAAAAAATGGCCCCTCAATAGAAGAAGCAATACAAATCTGAACTCCCCACCGAGAAAACACCAAAGACCAAACGGCCCACATCACATTACAATAAATTAGAATATGAGAACAGTCTTCTAAACAGGCTTTACAACAAGGACAAAAAAACCTCGTCAAACTCCAAAGGAATACCTTTCATAATAAGAAGTAAATTTGTTAGTAGTTTATCTAAATTAGCCGTCCGCAGAGAACAAATAATCTTATGAGGAACTTTTTTTTGATAAAATCTTAAGAGGAACTTTAATTTTCCACAAAATTGGCAACCATTCTGTCTTACCTAGAGATGAATTTCTCATCATCCGAGTAGTAAAGGACTATACTTCACCGAGAACAACCTCAAAAGGATCAAAACTCCACACCACCTTGCATATCCAGCATATTGTGTAATACAGACATGACCATTAAGAGACTAGTAGAGTCTTACAACTTCTAAAATGTTGGAGCTCAGAAGCTAGAAAACAAAAGGTGAAAAGCAAGTAGAGAACGACATAAAGAGAGAAGGTAGAATACCTAGATCCACCACTGAATAAAAAACGAGGATAAATCCACTCACAAAGTTTCAACTTGGACAAATCACTTTAAATTTAACGTGTGACATCATCTGATGTCAATAATCTATTAACAATGAACTTATTAGCCACATAACAAATTAATAGATTATTGATGTTAGATAACATCACACGTTAAATATGGGGTGATTTGTCCGAGTTGAAAACTTTGTGGGTGGATTTGTCTCCTTTTTGTTCGAGGGTGGATCTGTCCCTACCACTATACTTTGGGGATGGATTTGGGTATTTTTCCAAGAGAGAAAAACTAAAAATAAACATGAAGAGAGAACATGAAGACCATACATACTTCGGTCTTCTCCTTTTTATTATACATTGGTAGTAGATGAACAAGTTACATCAAAGATTTGGTACATATCACACTACAAGAAAAGATAGATTCATTGATATGGTTTTCACCTACTCCAACTAAAGCAAAATATTGTTCCATTTAGCTCAGTATCTAGTTGAAATTCAAGTCTCCAACACTCTTCCTGAATTTTTACTAGATACTCCAAGCATGCTTCTGAACATTTCAAACTTAAACTTGATAAAGCCTCCATGAATATATCAACAACTTGCTCTTCTATACTGCAATGGACAAGTTTCAATTCACTGTTCTACACCATATTTTTAAGCACATGGTATTTGACATTTATGTGCTTAGAAATATGGTGCAAAACAATGAATTGAAACTTATATACTACAATATAGAAGAGCAAGTTGCTGACATATTCACCAAGGCTTTATTGAAGTTCAAGTTTGAAATGTTTTGAAGCATGCTAAAAGTATCTAATAGAAATTCAGGAGTGTTGAAGACTTGAATTTCAACTAGATACTTAGCTAAATGGAACAATATTTTGCTTTAGTTGAAGCAGGTGAAAATCGTATCAATGTAATCTATCTTTTCTTGTAGTGTGATATGTAAAAGATCTTTGATGTAAGCTATTCACTTACTATCAATCTATAATAAAAAGGGGAAGACCAAAGTATGTTTGGTCTTCATGTGCCCTCTTCATGTTTATTTCTGGTTTTCTCTCCTCTTGTTGATCTCTCCTTGATTTTCACATTCTCTTTTCTTACTTCTGAGCTCTAACAAAGTGTTATTAGAGCAAACATTCTTGAGGAACCTATGAGAGAGTGAAACACGAGTGTATGTGAGGGAGTGTTCTGTGTAATCAACTATCACAACTATGTCTTCTTCTTTAGGTTAGCAACGTGGTTCCTTGTCAAACCCTCCTTTGTTTACAGGGAAGAATTATGATGTTTGGGCCATCAAAGTGAAAGCATTTCTTAAGGGAAATGATGTATGGGATTCTATGGAAAAGGGATTTAATCCACCTTGGTTGCCTCAAAATCCATTAGAAACTCAAATAAAGTAACATGCAAAGTATGCAGCTAATTCTTACAAGACTCTTTTATTCACCAATAGTGGTGGTGCAAATGAGATATTTCCCAAAATTATGAGAGCAGAAACGGCACAAGCAGTAGAGGAAACATAAAATCCCCTATAGGAAAAGCTTTTTATCACCGAGAATTGCAAGCCTTCTCCAGTGTCATGCCTAAAAACTAGGCGCAAAATAGACACTATATACTTGTACGAAGATCCCACAAATGCACAAGGCTTAGAACCTGCTTAATTCATATTTGGCAATCCACTAAACTAAGATCCACAATCTTAAAATAAAATCTAGCTTTATAACCAATGTTTAACTAGGCCAAGAGTGTACAAAAATTATACAACTCCATTAATAAAGTTATAACTATCTCCAAGGGGATCTAATCTACAAATGAATGATTTATATCTCAAAGATCTATGTCCAACATGATAGTATAGCTGACCTATCTTCAAAATGAACTAAATCCAAAATATAAGTCACTGGCCTTCTAGCTCGTCACTCCCCTTGGTTTCCCACATCCCTAGTCTCATTACCTGAAGTGGTGGACGAGGAAAACTATGTGAAATAACTTAATAAGTAAAAATTTAGATAGCTATCACTGAAATTTAAAGCATGTCAAGTAAACATTTTAATTTTAAATAGGAAGAAAATCTCAGTTGTAAATCATTTATGCATATTAAAAATTTATTGAGCGGTCCCCTCAATTAATCATGGCCAGTGTACTATCCCAACTAGCAAGATAACAGAAATACCACCATCTCACCGACAAAATACCAATGTACTTTCCCACTAGTAGGATAACAAAAATACAGAATGAACTGATCGTACAGATATACATGTCGACAAGTGCTAGCGATTACAACTCCCACTGGCGAGTGTCACTAATCATGACAATATTGGAGACAAAACCATGCAAGAGTTCAACAAGAAATCAATAATTTACAAATATGCAAGAGTAACATGAAATTCATAACTTATAAACCAATTTTCAGATTTCCAAAACAAATAAGTAAACTCCATGTATGCATGCTCAGCTCAATAAAAATAATAACAACTTCATTTCAAACCCTTCATGCTCATGTGCTAATAAATTCATTTTAAGTCCCACCACCATCTTAAAAACAATTCAAAATATGTTGTTAAAAACCTTCACCCTAAAATCCAAGGGTATTTACCATAATTTTACTTACCTTGCTTTGTAGGTATACAACAAGTAAGAATTCAAGATCTCAAGGCAATGAAGGTGATTTAAAACCTATACCACATCAAATGAATAAACAAGATTACAACATACTCCATTTAACTAATTTGGTTCCTGATTCCAAAATCAAGTTCCTAACCTAAGGAACAATTTCTTCCTACACAACTCTACCACTTCTATCCATTGAACCATCTATATATAGATATATAGATATATTTATATGCATAATCATATTTAAAACAACACCAAATGTCAGACGAAATAGCGTGTATTTGAAATAGATTTTCTAGATAAAATAAGGTGGAAAAATGTGAGAATCAAATCTCAAAACTATCCCAAATAGCAGCCCAAAAACTAGGCAGTAAGGTGGGGTTTTCACCATTTGAAACAGTCCCAAATGTTATACCTATGATTTTGATTATTACAAAACACATTTGAGTGACTAATTGGTTCATTTAAGTGTGTAGTTAAAATGTCAAAAGATTGCAAAGTAAGTAAACTTGGACTGCACTAAAAATGGACCAAAAGGCTTAAAAATGTGCAAAGAGTCGGCTGTTGAAACTTGCAGCTGGCTGTAGAAGAGCAAAGAGCCGGCTCTAGAAGTTGCAACCGACTCTATGGGTAAAAACTTAAAAGTTAGTTGTTTGGCACATACTGAGAAAAGACGCAAAGCCGGTTCCAACTTTGCAGTCGGCTGTGAGGGTGCATTTAATGCACAACGATCGAGTGATTTGAAAATTATTTAATGTTTTTAAAGTTGAAATCCCAAAGCTAGCTTTATGATTTGCAGCTAGTTGTGTAAGAAACAGAATGTGCAAGAAACCCGCAAAATCAACTGCAGAATTTTTAAGTTGGCTCTACGGAGAAAGCAGAATGCAGGAAACCCGTAGAGCCGGCTGCAAAAAAGGTAAGCCGACTGTGCTGACAATTCTGCAACTTGAATTAAGCGACTTGCAGAGCATTAAATGACCTCCAGCGGCTAGTAACGGCTATTTTCAACCATGGGGTTATAAATATGGTTGGTAGAAGATCTAAAGCAAGTTAAGAGAGCATTGTATTGAATATCTTTACCTACCGACTTGTGCTTTAACTTTAGATTTTGATCTTTGAGAGATCTTTATTTATAATCCTCTTCTTCTTATATTTGTGAGTGATCATGGGGGTGTGATTATTCCTTCAAGAGTGATTTGTAGAGAGGATTGTTTGGGTTTATCTTGTAAAGGGGTGAGATTTGAGGGAAACACCCTTCTTCTTGTAAAAGGATTAAGTGATTCCTTTAAGCCACCCTTGATTTTGTTAGTGGAGAGTGTGGAGGAAATCCTTGGTGAGTGAAGCCAACATAGAGGACTAGGTTCCAAGTGGTTGGACTGAACCTCTATAAAATCATTGTGTAAGCTCTTCTTCCCTACTCTTTCTTTGATTTTTGTTTGGTGGTTGCAAAGAGGTGAAAAATTTTCAACTCCAATTTAGCCCCCTCCTGGAGCATATTGAGTCAACACCAAAATGCTTGGAAGAAGCCTTAAACAATAAGGTTTTTCTTAGAAAAAACAGTAGTAAAACAATTAGAATACAAGCCAGGACTAGGCAGAAATGGACAACAATTAAGTAAAAACTGTAGCAACAAAAAGGCAGACAAAACAATAGAAATTTTCAAGACAAAATAGCACAATTTAAGTGCAAAAATTGCATTCAAAACCAGATATGGAAAGGTAGATTTTATCAAACAAAATTGCATACTTTCTAGCATGAAAATAGGAAAAATATCAAGTTGAAACCACAACACACCATAGCTAAATTTTCTGGGCTGTTTGAAACTGTTTCATACAAACTTTAAGCAGTTTAAATACCATTTTGGTCCCTCAACTTTCTCCTTTGGCACCAAAATTGTCCTTCAACTTTAAAAAGTACTAAAATTATCCTTAAACTTTCATTTTCTATACCAAAACAATCTTTCCATTAGTTAAATGGACAGGTAGCACATTAACTTGCCAGTAAATCAATTTTTCCTTTCTTAACTAATGACATGGAAAAAAAAAACAAAACATAGTTGGCCATTCCTTTTTATGAGTTGGTATTTTTATTTAATTTTAAAATAATGATTTCCTTTTTTTTCCATCCATGTCAGAAAAACATGATCTCTTCTTCCTCTTTTACTCTCTCTCTTTCTCTCTCTCTCTCTCTCTCTTTCTCTCTCTCTCTCTCTCTCTCTCCTCCCTTCTTCTTCCTCTCTTAAACCTAGATCTAGGTTTTTCTTCCTCCTTCCGTTGATTTCATCAATTTATTATAAACCATAAAATAGAAGCTTTAAACAAAAGCTTCTCTTGTCTTCCACTCTGGAACCATTAAATAAGCCGCACAAAGGTGCCACAAGCTTGAAATCAATTTCACCTTGGAAAGCCATTTCTTCCACGCATCGGTCCTACTCTTAACCATTCTCAGTTTTCGGTGCCAATCAAGTTAGGGTTTTTGAAGCTTCCCAATGGTGACTCTGTGGTTTCATGATGGCGATCTTCCACTCTAGAACCATCAAATAACCCGCACAAAGGTGCCATAAGCTTGAAATCAATTTCACCTTGGAAAGCCATTTCTCCCATGCGTCGGTTGTACTCTTCACTATTCTCAGTTGCCAGTGCCGATCGAGTCAAGGTTTTCATAGCTTCCCAATGGCAACTCTATCCATTCATGATGGCAACATGCACCACCTACTCAAAAGCAGGCTCATCAACTTTCCTTAACGTATTTCTTAGTTCTCTCTTTTATTTATTTATTTTTTTCCCTAAAGATTCACGTTGAAATTTTGCTTGATTTTCCTATTTCTTAAGGCAATCTTGAGCTCTATCTGATGTATGTGATTGTTGATAGTGGTTAACATTAATCAAAATTCATCCTACTTTTTGCATCCTACATTTCTTATGATTGTCTAGCTATTGCATTATAAAAGTACAAAATTTGCGTAGTACCCTCATGTTGAAAGATCTGAGAAAAACCCAAATCTAGGTTTGAGAGAGGAAGAAGAAGGGAGAAGAGAGAGAGAGAGAGAGAAAGAGAGAAAGAAAGAAGAAGGATGAGCAGGAAAAGGCAGGAGGAAGGTTGATAGAGAATGAGGAGGCAAAACTGTCGAAGGAGGAAAGGAGGAAGAAGATGAAGTTTGAGAGAGAACCCAGTTTTGGGTTTGCAGAGGTAAGGAAAAAGAAAGGTAAAGGAGAGAGAAAGTGAAAGAGGAAGAAGCGATCTTTTTTTTTTTTTACATGAACGGAAAAATAAAGGATATCATTATTTTAAAATTAAATAAAAATGCCAACTCATAAAAAAGAATGGCCAACTATGTTCCTTTTTTTTTTTCCATGTCATTAGTTAAGAAAAAAAAAAAGAATTGATTTGTTGGCAAGTTAACGTGCCACTTGTCCATTTAATTGACGAAAGGATCGTTTTGGTACCGAAAATGAAAGTTTAAGGATAATTTTGGTAGTTTAAAGTTGAAGGACAATTTTGGTGCCAAAGTGGAAAGTTGAGGGACCAAAATGGTATTTAAACCAATTTAAGCAAGAAAAACTTGTGATTCAAGAAAGGTTTTAGTGAAAAGAGTTGAGGTTAACAAAGCAATATTTCAGCAGTAAAATAAAGAAATAGCAAGGGGTTTTAGAGCTAGAAAACCGCAGCTAAAAGTCTAGTAAAACCATGATGTGATGTGGCAATAGGTTATGTGGGAATAAAGCAGAAAACAAAGTAGAAAACAAAGCAAATTGCTGGGCAAGTTCTGATTAGATTCTAAACCAAAAGTTCCAATAGAATTTACACCCAAAAATTAACCGATCTAAGTTGAATGGTTAACATATCAATTGTAACCCTCTGTCTTAACTTTCTATAGGGTCAAGAACCATCTTAATTTGACCTCTACAGAGAAAGTAATGGTCAGAATACTAACATAAGATTGGGCTGCCAGTTCCATCCTCTTTTATGAACTAAACTTGTAGTAGAGTTTTCACCTTGAAAACAGCTTAATTGAGTTAAATGTCCAATAGAAAAACTGTAGAGCCATCTCTTAACTTTCTATAAAATCAAGAATGGACTTAATCTAATAGCTACAAAAATAGTTACGGGCAAAATACTATTGTAAGGTCATGCTATTAGAATTTCTAGCAAAATGAATCAAATTCTGGTGGCACTAGATTATGGGCAAAATCAAGGAGAAAACTACAAAAAAAATCCCAAAATTGAAAAACCTAAGAGCATGTTTGGAATACAAGATTGAATTGAATTGGATATAGTTTAAAAGATATGACTGGATTGGATTAGATAAAATATATTGTATTAAATTTAATAAAATGTTTGGTTGATCACTATATTAAAGTAACACTAGACATAAAAATTTATTTGTATAAACAAAAATATCCTTATATTATAATTAAACTTAATAAAATTTTATTTTAATTTATTTTGAAATTAATCATAGTAACATTTACCAGTGAAATTAATTTTGATAATTATCATCAATTACTTTTATCAACAAAACCATAATCAATTATTCATTAATTGCACATAATTATAACAAAATCATATTTAATTGTCATCAACATTTTTCATTCCTTTCACGCAACCCAAAGAGAGGAGGAAGGTCAATTTAATTAAAAAGAGAAATCAGAGAACCACCTCAAAGTGCTCGATGACTATGTTGTTGAATTCTTGCAATTGATCTAGTTGATGTTTTTAGATCAGATAGAAATCAAGCAAAGAAAAGGGAGGAGGAAGAGAAGGGAATGGAGAAAAACTAGGAGGAAAGAGAAAGGAAGGAAGAAGTAGCTATTTGTCCAACTATGCACGAAGATGGATTTTGGTGTGTTGTCAACATTATGCGCATTGAGTCAAACTGAAAAAAGGATTGGCAAAGAAAAAATAAGAAAAGGGATAGAGAATTGTGGAGATAGGAAGGGTAAAAATGTAAAATCAAATCTTTCCCACCTAATCCCATGGGGGAGGTGGGTTACATTTTATGAAAGGAAGACAGGATGGATGCAATTTGGGACAACAATCATCCCATCCTCTTATCTTACCAAACATGAGATATAGTGGGATGAGACAATTTTTATCTCATCCCACTCTTAATCTAGCACTCCAAACATACAGTTTACAATTAGAGTTAATCCAATTCAAATCAATGATCAAAAGGTGAGCAATGTGGTTGATTTTTTACCGAAAAGTGCTAGCAAATGGCAACCTCCCTTACACTGCACACGAACCCAACATTCGTGGAGTTGAACATGTCACCCACAATAGATAAATGGCTTTAACCCAGGCATAAGAACTTGACATGGACTAGAAAAATTTGAAGAAGTAGTAGCAAGATCTAATTTCTAACAAGAAGAAGTTGGGCACATGGTTAGGGCTTGACCAAGTGAAATTTTGGTGAGGGCTACGGAGATATCACGCAAGAGGCAAGGAGAAAAACAAAGAAATCAGTCTTAACCCCTTCTATCACCAAATTTCTCTTTTAATGCTCCCCTTAGGTTAATGAATTTTAATTATTAGGCCCAACAATAATAATTTCTCCCACATAAATTTCTAACTTAAATTTAAATTCATTTGTACTAATATATTCATGTATATATATATATATCCAAAATTTAAAACTTTTGGGATATTACGTCCAAAGTCAATGCGTTTGATAGATTTAAAGAATTCTTTTTTCATTATGAAAGAACCATGGACTGATTAGATGGAATTGCCATAATTGATTCTTTTATAATGTTAATTTAGCTCATGTCAATTTGGCCCACCTCAATAGTAGAAGAAGTTAAAGCCTCCTTATTCTAGCCTAAGACCTTTGGTCCATCTACATGCTGGTCCAAAGGCCTAATGGAATTTGCATCCCCACTAAATTGCTAAGAAAATGGTTCAGTTTCCTCCACCTTAATTTCCACCTGACAGACTTGTCCCATTCCCATAATCTACCTCTTTATTGGGTCTAGAATTGATAGCTTCAAATTCCTCATGCCAAAAATCTTCAATCCGACAAGTCTAATGGTTATTAGTTCATTCTAGACACCACATTTCAATCTTTCTAAAGCGGTGAAGCAATCAGCTCCAACCATCCTCCTTCATCACCTTGAAAAGATCCTCATCCAAATATTGGAACATGAATCAAAAGCCACCAACATGTTTTACTCTGATATCTAACATATACCTTCTGCGATAAAAGATTGATGCAGCAAATCAACACTAAGGAAACCTCTTAATGTTGCTATAATAGAACTTCTAAGCATTTATTCCATCTCCTTCGAGGATTCTCGACATTTTAATTTTAGATCCCTTTACTACTTCCACATACGATTTATTAACCTTTCCTATGGCACCTCCTCTTTGACTTCTCCAAGCCAAGGTCGAGTTAGGAGCATGCCGTATGTGAGGTTTGGGACCCAACTTCCTATCAAAATGAGCAAGGGTAACTCCAATCCTCTTGTTAAGCCAACTGTTACCATTACAAATTTGAACCACTGCTAAGGCCTCATGCCAAAAGCTATATATCTCATCAAACCAAACCTCCTACTACTCTTATTTTCTATTAGGAAAAATGTAGATATTTGTAACTTGGCCATAGGAAGAAAAGAGCTTCTTGAGCCAATTTGGATTAACCTCGACTACAATGTTGTTCACAAAAACCGTAGTGCACTTGGATTTTTCGTCATCAGCAAGATTTGACTCTAAGACCACTGTTCCTAAACTAGATCCACTGAAAGGACCCACCAAATTTTCAATATTGTTTGATCTCTCAACAGTGTTTCCCCTTCCACAAAGATTTTAAAACTTTCAGAATTGTTTCCCAAACCTCTCTCTCACTTATCCTTAGGTCTTTTTCCTAAAGGGTCCTAAAGGGTAGATCCTGTGGGCGTACTCCATTCCTCTAGGCGCAGTCCTGGTGGATTTCACAGGAAACATTTTATGTCCTTTATAATGGTGAATTCAGAGTTGATTCTAGAGAGGTCGTTGATCAGCATTGTCTTACCTTGGAAAGTAGAAAACTCTCAACAATTATTTTATTAATTATCTTTTTGGTTTAAATTGGATTATACTAACTCACCATCAGATCAAAAACTGAGTTTAGCTATAATTAATATTTATGTAGCAATTAGATGGCTCGGTTACATGGCACTTCGGTGCCTTTTGTAATATACCTCTACTGCTACGTGCGAGCTTAGGTACTCAAAATCAATGCGAGCAACCATATAAAAGCAAATACTACCAATGGTTCACTACACCGGTATAGGGTATGTTCCCAAATTAAGTAGGACAATTTTCTCATAGTTTAGCTATTCTTTTGAGTTTTTTAATAAGTGTGCTAAGTATACTTTTATATATATATATGTGTGTATGTATATAAAAAAGATAAAAGTAAAAGTTGATATTAGTTTTAATATTAATACCAAGTTGATAAGTTAACTAAGTAATTAATAAATTTAAAATAAATTTTTATTTTTTAATATAATTGTCACGCCCCAGAACCCAAATCCGAGGCGTGATAGACGCCGTGCACTCATGAGACGGGTCCCACAAATGCACAAGGCTCGGAACTTATCACACCACAATCTGATACCATCAAAATCTGAAGATCAAATTATAAAATTCTCTCTGATATCATAAATCTCCAATAAAATCTCCAAATACAAGATCATGATTCATATCTAAAACTTATATCCAATTACAATATGGCTAGCCTTCTAACTCGTCACT